GCGGAGTTGCTACACAGAGTGGCAAAGGTGCCACCTGACGAGATTGATGACAGGAACAGACGTGGTTTTTTGGCTTGGACTAGGGTACTAGTACCCCTGTGTAAAGTTATAGCCAGTCTCTGAGTGGAGGCTGGAGCCTGAAGCAGTAAAACTGTAGGCAGCATAGGCGACCACAGAGCCCAACATCAGTCCAGACATGTAGGACACAGTCATTATGTTCCCTGTGGGAAAACAAATCACATGAACTCAAGTTAATGACTGCATCTCTAGAGAAGAGATTATAAATGCATCCTTCTGAAGGTTTAGGCTTACATACAAGAACCTGTTCATCTGCATAGAGTTGTGCATGTATACTCTATGAATCTAAATGGGGTGATAGATTTACCTGCTAGTTCCCTCTGCTCAGGTGCCACCTTGCCTGCAGCATGAATCATGGGAACACTGCCAAAATAGCCATTAGTGACGCCCATGAGGAGAGAGAAGATGCAAGGCCATGCCGGGTGGCTGAAGGTGGGCTTCTGAGCCGGATACACACACATGATGAACAGAGGGATGAAAACTACTCGCACACACGAGCAGAAGAGAAGACGAGTCCCGTTCCATTCATACGGCACGGCTGCCACGATCTAGACACAAAGGAGAGACAAAGTTTGGTGTCAAATTACTTCAAAGAATGTAGAAGATGACATATAATCCGTAATGTCATAATGTCAGTGAACATACTTTGCCCACAAAGTCGGATATGTTGAAGATGGCCATGATCAGGATGGGCAGCCATTCCCCCAGTGTGACATTCCTGATCTCCGACTCCAGTCCAGGAAAAAGACACAGCGTGATGAAGTAAGTGACGGCAATAGACAGCATGTAGGTCCAGATCACACGGGCAACCACATATCGATGCAGGATCATGCCTGCAACAGATGGGGTCACTGCTTGATTAACCAATAACATGACTTTTTCAAAGAAATTAAAACTTTACTTCAGGAAGGATGCATCAAAAACAACATTAAAGACTTTCATACGGTTACAAAAAGTCAATTTCACATGAATGTGTTCTTTTGAAATTTCTACTCATCAAAGAAAAAGATGTATCGTGGGTTCCACAAACTGTTTTTGACACTGATAATAATGAGAAATATTTCTTGAGCAGCAAATCAGCATATCAGAATGATTTCTGAAGGATCATGTGACACTGAAGACTGGAGGAATGATTTCATTGTGTGATTTCATTTTCATATTATTGCGTATTATATATTTTTCATATTTACATATTATAGTTGCATTTTGTATATTTTTTAAATATGCACTGCGTATTATATTTTATATGTGTATATTATATAATTAATTAATAACTCAAACTTTTGAATGGCAATGTTCATACAAATACTTGATTATTAGGAATGCAAGGTAACTTATTATTTGAAAATAAACAAAGCACAATAATTTAATAATAATTATTTTATAAAATGTCATTGTGTGATTTCATTTTCATATAATTGTGTATTATATATTTTTTGTATTTATATATTATATAGTTGCATTTTGTATATTTTTTAAAATATATATTATGTATCTTATTTGTATATTATATAATTAGGCTAATAATAATAATACAATTTTCAACCTTAAACATTTGAATACAAATACTTGATTATTAGGAATGCATGGTAACTTATTATTATCTGAGAATAAACAAAGCACAAATGAAATAACATTATTAATGTATAATTTTGCAGATCTCATAATGGATATCTTTAGACAAAATTGTATAATTTTTGTATCGAAAATATCAACCATATCATCGGTTTTTGGCCATAACATGAAAATGATCACTGATTTATTGGTATCAGATAGAATTGTAATACTGATGCACTGCTAAATCATAATTTATTTGTTAATAAGGATTAATATAGAAAATACTGTATTATAAATGAGATCACACCTTTGATGCCTGGCCAGCTCTGTTTAATCTTTGGTTTGGGCACATCAAACCTTACGTAAGTGTTTCCTCCAGCAAAATCTGTGCAGCCGTCTTCAGCTGGGGAAGAGCCCACTGCGCCGTTACCCTTGAAAACAGACAGGACATCTGAACAATTCATACTGAATACATTATATATCCGTATAGCACAGTGGAGTGACTATCAATATTTTTTTTTCAGTTTAATACAGCAAAAACCTTGCATTTTTTGATGTAACAAAACAAAACAAAAAAATAGCACATCAGAAGCAGTGACCATATCAAGCAGGTCACTGTGACTTTGTGAGAGCGTGCAGTGCATTCAGATATCGTAATGCTTTTCTTGATGAACTAGCATTTCTGCAGGGCCTGCTTGAGGAGGGCCATTACTTGATTAAGTGTCTGGCTGAGCTAGTAAAACCACTCTCTTATTAATTTGCTGAGAATAAAACAAGAGCATTCGGGACTCACGGCAGCACAGACGGGGAACTGCTCAGTAGAAATACACCCTCAGAGTAAAGCTCCAGCATAAACTAGCATTCAATAAATAAAAAAATAAATAGGCAGCAATGAACAGTAAGAATCTTTACGATACAAAAATATCTCATTCTGAGGTATTTTGTCTTTGCTAGATTAAATTCCAGTCCTTAGTCCAAAAATCTTAAAGCAAATTGTACTGGATTGCTGATGGATTTTTTTTTTTCATCATAATTTAAATCTGAACCAATTCTAAATACCTCTAATGGACCCTCTTCACATTTTTAAAGTTCTCATAAGTTGGGTAAACTTCTATAGTGGGTAATTTTTCCCAATAGCATGATAGCATTTCTATGACTGTGGTAACCTTTGAATTTCTGGAAGAAGATGAAGAAATCTTGAGAGGAGGAACAGCTGAGTGCTTAGTCTGTCAGCCACAGGACAAACATGAGGCTTATCTGAAGTGCTCTCATATATTACTCCACCCAAACTGTCTGTGTCTGTGTCTGTGTGAGCACTTAAATCACGTTCTCCCTGTGTCCTTCTCAGGGCCGCTGAGAGCACTGACCGGCACAAATGAAATGGAGTTATGGGAGAATTTAGAGAGAAAACACAGCTGAGTATGCGTAACTAAAACAGCCTTTTCACAGTCCAGCTAAATGAAAGAGCTTTACAATTTGACATTCCAGTGAATTTCGTCACACATTTCCAACAGAGCGTGATAATGCTACAGATTTATTTAATTACAAATGGATTTCTAAACCATATAGCAGGAAGAAAAATGTTGTTTAATTTACACAGCATTTTTGAGGACTTTTGTCTAAATGTTGGGCTTGGCAACATAATGCAAAAGTATGAGACAGCTAGAGCACATTTACTATTCTAGACACCCTAATAACATATGACTGGGTAACTCGGTAACACTTTAGTATAGGGAACAATTCTCACTATTAACTAGTTGCTTATTAGCATGCCTATTATTAACATATTGGCTGTTTATTACTTATAAAGCACATATTCTGTATGACCATATTCTATATCCCTAATCCTACCCAATACCTAAACTTAACAACTATCTTACTAACTATTAATAAGCAGCAAATTAGGAATTTATTGAGGAAATATTGAGGCAAAAGTCATAGTTAATGGTTTGTTAATAGCGAGAATTGGGACCTTAAAATAAAGTGTGACCGGTAACTCTTGTACAGCTCGTCTTAGGAAGCTGAATTTCTATTTGGGATATTTTTCAGGTATAGATTTCATTGTTTTACCCTTGGTCCAGACTTTCAATATTAGAATAATTAGTGTACTTGATTACGAGGAGACAATGGCATGGAAGAGCATGCTTAAAATGAAAATTCACGGAAGTGTATTACTATTTATATAAAATATCTACATATTATTTGTGTATTATATATTTTTCATATTTATATATTGTATAATTGCATTTTTATATTTTTTAGAACTAGATTAATTATGGATTATATATTTTATATTTGCATATTATATAATTAACAATAATAATGTTTAATAAATACAATAATATTTATATAATTATATTTATATTGTGCATCATTGCAAATCAAGCTGTAATTTTGTCAAATTATGCAAAAAGAGAGAAATTGATATTTAACTGTATGCATCCGAATTCATGAAATACTTTCTTTCTTATTCTGCCGAACACATTTTACACACAAGATATTTTAAAAGATTGTTGATATTTTTGAAACGATGAGAAAATGACATTTGTTTCTTCAGAAAAATGATGGAATCACTATTGGAGAAAGGCCATAAATAGTTTCATAATGATATGCCCTTCTCACATTTGGCATGCAAAACTTACAAATCTTACTTCTTCCGTAAGGACATCATGGTGGACCTGGTACTGGGTCCCGTTTTGTGAGTGGTCTTTGGCGTGGGACAGGCCCTGTCGTGCCAGACTCGTGTAGTACTGGACAAAGCGTGTCCTTCGCACCAGGACGTGCAGGACAAAACACAGTAGCACCATACAGATGGAAATGATGAAGAAGATGATGGTGTTCTTCCTCTCGTTTTTGATCAATAGTTTGGTGAAGATACGACTGAGTGAAATGATCACTCCTGCCGTGCCTATACAGAAAAAAACAAAAAGAATGAGAATCTTGTTTTTTGCATTTTACCCAAACATCATGGATTTTCATGACCGCATCTTACTCTCTCCGGTCATCACACCCTGTGTGTAGCGCTTGGGAAGCATCCCCATGTATCCATAGAAACTGGACTGCTGTACTGGAGACACAATAGGATGAAAAACTGTTATGGCTGGAAATGGTTGACAACACAATGTGAGCCTGAAAGTCACTCCCAACACGCGTCTGCGTTCATGATGGCTTTGGAAAGAAAAGTATCAACAAATACCTGTGCATCCAAAGGCCACAGTACCCATAGACATCAGATTGATGACGTACGACTGCTTCGTGGTGAACCTCTCCAGCCACACATCAAAAATGGTGACAAAAAGCAGAGGTCCAAGTGCAAAGAAGTAACCTACAAGAGGTGAACTTGGATGTAAACAAATTTTAGATATCATAACTAAAGGCTGAAATACACTACACGACTTTTAAAATCTAAACAGATTTTAAAACACTGGGCATCATACACTAACAGACTTTGTAAGTAGTGACAGAGGAAAACTGGCCATCATACACTAAACGACTGAGGATCACACAATAGCAGACTTTGAAGTTGTTCCGATCACAACAAACTTGCACAGAAACGTGCGCCTTGTTGCTAGGAGACGCATGACAAATGAAAACAATATGCGTTCTAAAATCGGCTGCAAATATCAAACATGTTTGATATCCTCTGACTGGATGGAATCAAAGCCTGAAGCTAAAAAATCAGAGTCTGTGACTATCCTACACTATGTGATTTTCTATGAAATCTGTCAACTCTAATCTGCAGACTGACACTGACTTCTGGCAACTAGCGTTGACTTGTCAAAACAGTATTCCAGCCTTAATAAATAATCTATGCACTAAAAAAAAAGTCTGCAGGACTGGTGTAGGATTTACTTTGAAACAATTTTCACTCAAAAATGACTAGTAAATTTCACAAATAATTAGAAAGAAATTAAAAGTAACACTGAATTAAACATGATATTTTTAAGTATAAAGACTGAAATAGTATTTTCTTTTGAAAAAAAAAAAAAAAGTGTGTTTGCAAACAACATCATAATATTTGATTATATTATAGAATTTGATTTGTTTTTGGAGGGTTTTGGAAGGTATAATTTTCCCTAAAATCATTTACTCACCCTCATGTCGTTCACCCTCATGACATTTTCTTCTATGGACATAAAAGAAGAGAGTTTATAAAATGTCTTAGTGTTTCGGTCCATATAATATACCACTGAATAACACTGTACTGAAAACATATTTGGAATGATTATCTTTTCCACAGACGAAAGAAAGTCATACAGGTCAGCATGAGGGTGAGTAAATGATGGCAGAATTGTTATTTTTGGGTGAAGCGTTAAATTGACATATTTTTCCGTTTGCTTGGGTTGTGTGTGTTTTTGTGTGTCATCAGTCAATCGGTATTGTCGTGGTGTAATTTCCCTGTGTTTATCTGCTGTTTGGGTTATATGTAAGCCGTCTTCTTATTCAGCAGTATTTGGTGAGGGTTATTCCTCAGGTTGAGATGAGTGATGCAGCTGTCAGACTGGCTCCTCCCTCTCCCCTCAGGTCAATCAGCGGCCTCCTCCCCCATCCCTTTGTGCTGTCTGTCTGCTCTAAATAAACACACTCACTCACCCACAGTGATCCTGGTGTGCAGGCTCAGCATCTCCACCAGGACATTGTTTAGGATCACAGCCACTAGGGCCACAAGTATATATGTTAAACCCATGTCAAACACAATGGATGTTCCTGAAAGACACAGAAGACAAAAAGGAAATGACCTCGAAGTTTACTGCATTTTTTTCTTACTATCATACAGGAACCATATGCTCAATCAAACTGATTGTTTTGACATTTTTCATACAAACACAAATGTCAAAACTGATTATCTTTATACAATGAAAGTGCATGATGATCACTGGTCAAAAAAAAAAAAAAGTTTCTTGAGCACGAAGTCACCCAATTAGAATGATTTCTGAATTTTTTCAAATATATTAAAATACAAAACTGCTATTAAATTGTATAAGTATTTCAAAATATTATTCATTATAGCCTACATATATATATAGTATATATTTGCTTTTGATAAAAAATGCAGCCTTGATGAGCATAAGAGACATCTTTAAAAATATATATACATATATAAATATATATAATACATGTAAAAAAATAACATTATAATGAGCAATTCACCATGAAAACACAAGTATAACATGTTTTAAAACTCACGATCGTTAACATAAATTGTACTAATATTTTACTAATATTTCAAAATATTATTCTTTATACTGAATTTTTGATCAAATAAATGCAGCCTTGATGAGCATAAGAGACATCTTTAAAAGCATTATCTATCTATCTATCTATCTCTCTCTCTCTCTCTCTCTCTCTCTCTCTATATATATATATATATATACATATCAAAATACAACATTTTAATGAGCAATTCTGGCAAGCACCATGAATACACAAGTATAAATTTTTTTTTAAAACTCACAATCTTTAACAGATATTTCAACCATAATTTGTTTCATGTAAATGCTACTGAAAATGTAGATCCATAAATATAATGGAGTACCTTCAAATTTATGATGCAGGTAGTCAACATCTGTAATGAAGCTATTGTAAGGCAGCAGGAAGCCCACTCCAGCCAGGAGCATGGCAAAATAGATCCCATGGTAACGGTCATCTGGAATAGGTTCTTCAAACGCTACGCACAGAAATCACACGCATTTGTATTCACAAACGAGTGAGAGTTATAAACAAAAGTCCTGTCTGTGTTGTATTTGTATGACATTTCAAAATATGTGCGTTCTAAATATTTGTCTCTCAGCCAGTGTGCTGTCTCTTTGAAGTATATTTATGCATACGTATGAGACATTTGACATTTTGCTCTCTCGCTCTCTCTCTCTTTCTGGATGAGGAACTGATTGATGGAAGCACTTCTGTTCCTCTTGCTGGCTTCCTAATGTTTATACAGCTTTAGTCCTTTAACACTGCATGCCTAATTTAAGAGATGGAAGAAATGAAATCATGACTAAAAATGTAAAACGTATATTTGACCAAAAGTAGAATATATCTATATACTTAGCTAGCCTAGCAAACTCTAAAGATCAATGTGTATGTTCTCCTACTCCACTGATTTAATAAGCATGACCTTTGTAACCAGGCAACATGAGGGGACAGCAGACTCTCCAGCTAACATGATTACACATAGCTAGTACATGCCAAGTATTGTAACCTTTTAAACTAAAATCTGTATTATTACACATTGTACGAGCACAACACATATGAAATAGTGACTCAAATGACATTTTGTAGTTACATTGAGGCACATCATATGCAGCAGAGACTCACCAGGTTCTGAAAGGGCCAGCACTCCTTTATCTGAGATGTCTTTCACCTGACAGTCCTCTTCCTCCAGCTGATAGCTCTCGAAACTGAAGCTCATCACCACATTGCCCTCGGGAGTCTGGCCAGGGGTGGCCTGTTTACGTCTCTCTACTCCTTTTGAGCCCATAGTCCCTCTTTTGGCCTGGAATATCTGAAAAGGCCTTCTTCAACAGTGTCAGAAATGTGATCTGTAAGAGGATGAAAATAAAGAATGTGTGTGTAAGCAACTTACAAAACAGATTAGATGCAACACATTACATTTAAAATATCCTGATAATCAACCTCAAACGTTAAAGTGTAGTTAAGATGTTTCATTTTTAAGTGTTGTCATCACAGAAGAAAAACATTTTAATGTATACACTACCAGTCAAAATATATTCCACAAAAATATTAAGCAACAAATCAGCATATTAGAATGATTTCTGAAGGATCATGTGACACTGAAGCTTTGCAATAATTTAAAATAATTGTTTTAAATACAATTATTTTATTTAAATAAAAATAATGGTTACGGTTTATTTTTAAGTTGTCCTTGTTACAGTGTAATTATACATTTAAGTACTGAGGAATATTAATTATACATGTACTTACTATATGGTTAGGGTTTGACTTAGGGTTACTTGCATTTAATTATGCATAATCTATTGTTATTATAATAGTAATAAGTACAAGTAACATGTGTAACAAGGACACCGTAAAATAAAGTGTTACCAAAATAATTTTTATTTTAAATATATATCATTTACATTTCATATTATTAAAATATATTCATGATTATTTAAATTGAGCATTTCTTAATATAGTTTCAAATCAATAACACCGTTATTATCGTAATCACGTGAGATAATGACAGTCTTAACAATCTTAAACAGATATTTCCATGTAAGTCTATTTTATGTTTTAATTTGCATGCATCTCTGATGTTCATAAAGTTCAATTCACTCACTATTAGCATTATGGCAAATTTGAGTTTTTCATATTAGTTCACTGAGATGAAAGGGGCCTGTGATGTCAAATTGGCTCTAGTGACTGAACAGTGAAGTGTAATAAAAGCATGCGAAGAGCAGCCTCAAGTCACTTTCTGTTAAATCAGCCGTGCCATGTGACATTTCACTTTTGGCTATATGCTCTATGCCTTTGTGCAAGCAATGTTCTTTTTTTACTTTATTTGCATACGTATACGTGTGCATCATTGGTAATGTATTGTCAAGGGATATATTGCATCCCTGTGTGATCTATTTTAGGAAAGAGCAATCAGACAATCTAAAATAAATCTATATTCTTAATGCAAATCAGGTGCTTCCAGCGAGAAGAGCCTTAGCCAAGATGCCACTGTTGGACATGTTATTGAAATTTTCCTCATCTTGGAAATCTGCCAATGCGTCCTTTGAAGAGGCTGGGGCTGGCAATGCACGACTGGTTCAAAAGAAAAGCAATCTTTGATATCAGTGTTACGTCACTGACTAGAGAGTTGTCGGGCACATTTTGTGCATCCGACCTTGTTGCATTGTGATGATTAAAACCAAATGGAATAGTTAATTTGTTTGTAACCAAACACAAAGACATACTGTACAACAACATATTCACAAAGCTGTCATGTAGCCCATATTATCATAGTGGCTGATGTTGTTTAACTAAGAAACTGTATGTAAACAGTGCTGAGACATGGAAGTAAAAGGCACACCTGCTGAACCATGAACTGTCAGATGTGTCACTCATTTTATTGTTTATGTAGGCCTACAGCCATTTCCTATAGATTGTCATTATAATGTGCACTAGAACGAAAGTAAATATAGCCTATTTCAAATATATTATATAATATAATAACATGTATAAAGGCTTTCTAAAATGATGCAGAGAGCCAATGATACAGAAGAATGGCTGATGAATGCAGATGAAGGATGTAAGACGAACAATAAGAGGACCTGATAGTGCCGTTGTGTGTTTAACATAAACTAAAAGTATACATTTCTGTGGAAAATGTTAGTGAAAAAACAAGACGCTGTAAGACGGAATAAGTCTAAATCCAAATGATGTGCGAAAACTTTCGTTTGAAAAAAATAAACAAACTAATCATGCGCTTCGCTACATAAGCCTACTAGTATATTGAATTAGCAGTAAGCCGAAAAGCAGCTGTATACATATCAGCACGCTTTTTAGAGGGAATTTAATCACTTTCTTCTTTTCAAAACACACCATCCCTGCGAGAAAATGTCACGTAATGTTATCTGCTGCAGGCTGCTTTGTTGTTCTCACTGGACTTGTTATAGCTAGTCATACGATCAAATCGCAGCATATATTTCCATTATTCATCTAGCAGCGCTCATGCATCATTTTAAAGAGACAAAAGCGATACAGTCATCCGAAAGACAACAGGTTAAATCTTACCCCGAACAATTAAATGCGTCTTTCCTCCCTTATTCGCATGTTACTCCGGGTAACCACAAGCCTTCTTTACATATAAAGCATTTTCATCATTGGTGCGGTGTTGTTTGGGTTCTCTGGTGTAAATATCCTCCTGCACAAGGTGAAGAGGCACAGAGCCGCTGTCATTCTCCCTCCCTCCCACACAGCGAGCGAGTTTGCAGCGGTCTGAAGCCTCCAGCTGTCTGCCAAGGCAACCCGCTTTCATTATCGCTTTAAAGGAAACCTGCAAACCTAAAACAAATAGTTACATAGGCCTAGACATGGAATACTTAATTCTGATTGGTCAGTTGCGGAATTCAGCTTTCGTTATTTCGGAATGTTAAATAAAATAAAGTTGAACAAAAGTAGCCTAAAGGCTTTTACATTGTTATGAATATCTCTATTTCACATGTTGCTCTTTTGAACTTTTATTCATCACAGAAACTTGAAAAATATCACTGTTTCTATAAAAAATTAAGCAGCACAACTGTTTTCAACATTAATAATAATCATTTCTTGAGCAGCAAATCAGCATATTATTACAATGATTTCTGAAGAATCACGTGACACTGAAGACTGGAGTAATGATGCTGAACAATTTCAGCTTTGCCATCACAGGAATAAATTACATTTATAATATATTCAAATAGAAAACTGTTATTTTAAATTGTAATAATATATCACAATAATACTGATTTTATTTTGATCCAAATAAATGCAGCTTCGGTGAGAATAAGAGACATCTGTCAAAAAACATAAAAATATCTTACTGACCCCAATATGCATTCTAGGGATTTGTGATTGGCATTGTGGTCTGTGGTCTGATTTAAGAGATGAATAAACTCTAAGCACTGCATGCACCATCGTTATTTGATCTATTACATTAGTCTCAATCAATACCTTTTGGAAAAAATCATACATTGGCTACAGATTGGAACAAGTGGAATCCTGTGCAAACATTTGTAGAAGTTGGTTCATTTTGTCATTATTAAAACTTCTTGACATCTTTTGGATAATCAGTACGTTGTACACCTCAATACATGGTTGGGCAGCATTGAGCTTTGAACTTGATTTTGCATTAGATGTCCAGACAGCATTCTTGGGAAATATCAAAGCTCAATAGCGACTCTCAATGAGGAAGGAGCATATGATAGAATGCTTTATTTGCGTTTCAGAGAAATCAATGGGACACCTTTGCATTTTGAATGTACATAATGCTGCTGTTATATATCTGGCATCACTTATAGAGTGAGAAGGCAACAAAAACAAGGTGAACATGCAGTGTTCATCTTTCAAATTACCTGCCATGGCAACAATGCCCTATAAAGGGTCCTCTGTGTGAGGGAGCAATGGACTTTCTGTTTCCTATTTATGATAAATAGCATATCACACACTCATTCTGTAACTAAGAAAAGGTCAGCTTTATGCTTTTCTTTTGAGGCATTCTATTCAATCAATATTAAGAAAGGTCACCAAATATAGACATCAGGATGCTTTATTATTTAGCATTTACCAATGAGAAAAAATAAATACACGTTGTGCATGGCTGAGCGCAGAAATATTTCATCCCAATCTAATTTAGAAACGGAACTGGAAAATCATGTTTTTATGTGTTAGTAATGAATCCCTTGATGATGTTCCACTTTTATTTGCACTTATTCATCAATTAGCATAGTTTTTGACTGATCACTTCCCACTTATATTTTGCTGTGCCGGTTAGTGTAATAAGAAACTATTGGTCATTATACAACTATTTTTTCTAGCTCTGCCATTCAACAATGTAAGGTTGCTATCTTGTTTCCGTTCAGAATGATTGATTTAAGATATCTTGTATCTAAAAAAAATAAATAAATAACGTATGGCCAATGTTCTGTTTGGCTGATTGATACTGATGAAGAAGCAAATCAATATCATTCAATCGATGAATCATCAGTTTATATATTTGTTTTCGCAGCAGCATTTCTAAGCCCAAGGAACTGGCAAAATGAATCCTTCTTGCATGAGTTAAATGAGTCCGTTCTTTGTCTGGATGTTCTATTTACCCAGTGGGAATTTAATTTCCTTCCCAATGTCATTTCCCCAGAAGGCCTCTGTGCGTGTTCAGAAAGCTGACTGGGCTGTTTCATTACCTCCTCTATCACCTGCTCTGTTTTGCTATACTGTGCGGATACAAAATGGCTCAAAGGCATTTGCCCAATGGCATTCCGAAAATTTTGAGCCAAATGGTAATAGCAGTCTTTACCATTTGTGTGTGTAATTTGACAGGATGGATGTTATGTGTATATTTTACATATTATATTTAAGATGTCTATTTCAGTTTTTTTCCCCCATCAAATCCCTGGCATAACAATCTTGTAAAGGCTTTAAATCATATTAAAACAAGTCATTCATAGTCAAATCCACATTCTCATACTCACCCAGTGTATTATTGACATAAAGATATATATAGTGTTTATAATTCCTGACATAATTATCTGTCAAGTATGTACAAGTGCACTCAGTATTTTGTCCTCATTAAAAGGTTTTATGTGACCCTGGAGCACAAAACCAGTCTTAAAGGGATAGTTCACCCAAAAATGAAAATTTGATGTTTATCTGCTTACCCCCAGGGCATCCAAGATGTAGGTGACTTTGTTTCTTCAGTAGAACACATATGATGATTTTTAACTCCAGCCGTTGCAGTCTATCAGTCGTATAATGCATGGCAATGGTAACAAAATCTATGAGAGTAAAAAAAAACATGCACAGTCAAATTTAAATTTTTGGGTGAACTATCCTTTTAAGTCGCTGGGGTATATTTGTAGCCAAAAATACATTGTATGGGTCAAAATTATTGATTTTTCTTTTATGCCAAAAATCATTAGGATATTAAGTAAACATTATGTTCCATGAAGATATTTTGTAAATTTCCTACTGTAATTTATTATTAGTTATATGCATTGCTAAGAACTTCATTTGGACAACTTTAAAGGCGATTTTCTCAATATTTAGATATTTTTGTACCCTCAGATTCCAGATTTTCAAATAGTTGTATCTCGGCCAAATATTGTCCTATCATAACAAACCATATATCAATGGAAAGCTTATTTATTCAGCTTTCAGATAGTATAAATCTCAATTTCGAAAAATGTACCCTTATTATTACCCTTGACTGGTTTTGTGGTCCAGGGTCACAAATAAAATAAATAATAACAAAAGACAGGATTACCAAAAACACTTTAGCTGACAAGGTCCTGAGATTATCTATGAGCCTTCCAGTTGAGTTTTGAGTTTGAGTTGATCTCTTTTTATTCAGTTAAGTGCTACTTAAGGGCTGCTGTTTCAGCATATGTTGCTGCGGGAGACGAGTGATAAACCAAATCATGCAGGAACAAGTTCCAGACCTGCTGGAGAGTAATGAGATATGGCTCAAACACTGGCCTATCATTAATCGTGTCTACTGCTGGGATTTGTAGCATATCGTCAGCTACATACTTCCTTGACAAACTGGAGGAAATGTCCTCATAACATGCTGTGGAGCAACCGCTATAATAAATCAATGCAAGTTTTAAAGATTCAAGTTGTTATTCCAAACATTATTCAGTAAGAATACTAAGCACAAACCCCAAATATAGTGCAAATGTAATGGATGAATTATGAAGCTGAAATGCAGATGTAAATCTGATATATAAGCAGCGCTTGAATGTGTGTGAGTAACTGTTTACATAAAGTGAAATAAATGAAGAAATAAGAAATTGAATCTGTTCCTAGACCTAACAGGGATCATTCTCAGAACTTTGGCTAACATTCCAGCCAAATTTAGTTCAAAGTTATCTGATCTTTAATAATGTTAGCACAAAACACCATTTATACATCATTCATGGAACCCTTTTTATTTTTTTCTGAAACATTGTAGTTGGACGTCTGACTAACATTTTTAAATGTTACTTGTTTTAGAATGTTTAGAGAACATTCAAGAGTAAAATTGTTGCAATGGTTGCAAACGGATAAAAAGTAATGAACATTCACATAACCAAGAACTTTTTTTTTTAAAACATTAAAAATACTGGACATTTTGAACGGTCAGAGAACATTCAGAAATAACATTTTCATAATGTAATGATGAAATACATTCTTACATATTTTTGTCAGCTGGGATAGTGCCTTCTGAGCATCTAATAGTCTTATTTGCAATGCATTCTGAACTGCTTTTAACTGCAACTTTATTTCATGATTTTGAAACATGTCATGCAATTGTGATTTGGTATCTCATATTTGCTTTATTATGTCTCATTATCTAAACATTAAATCTCATTATGATATCAGGAGGTGGTCTCCAAACAGGCCTGTGCCCCAGGGCCTCGCAGGACCATAATCCATCCTGGATGGATGTGAACAGTGTATGCAAGCTGACTTCAACAGAACAGCATAAACACTGCAGGGAATTACAATGTTGGTTGAATTGAAATCATTTTCCTAGAATTGGAATTAGGTATGAGGGTGTTAAGGAGTCTAACAGCCTCAGGGAAAATGTTTCAGAGTCTAATAGAGTTAGTCTGTGTACTATAATATCATTTGTGAGATTGTGGGAGGGTGATGAGTTTAAAGGAGGTGGCGTTTATTGTACCGTAGGCCTTGTGCATGCAATATTTGTAGTAGAAGTCTTTATAACAATTATTTTCTGTATATGTAATGAGATTGGATATTGTAAATTAAAATCATTATGCTATACATGTTAATTCCCATCATGACAGTTATTGCAGATATGAATGTATAATGCAAAACATAATAGCCTCTCGTCTCTGCCAGACAGATTTTTGATATATTGTCAAAAGCAATTTGCTTGTGAGGCATACAATGCGGAAGAATTTCTTGGACACACTTCAAGGCCTTAACTTTATTAATACAATCAGTGTAAACTGATCTTCCTTGACTGCTCTTATAAGATTAAAAACAAGGGCTGTGTTCTGAATGCACACTAAATGCTGCACTCTATGCCCTGTATTTTGCTTTTTTTTTTTAAATAGTGAATTCAACAGTATTATTTCACAATTTTTGTCATTTTGCATGTATAATTAAGCAAGTTGAGTTCTTCAAAATAAAATGGGTTATTGTGCATTTTGAATCAAATTGCGTAGAGATACCTTTACATTTGTATTTACATTTGGCAGTCTAAATAATTCTTAAGAAAGAGTTGTTCAAAATTATTACTATTATAGTTAACTAAATCGAAAACCATAAAAAAAATGTTAACTAAAATAAAAAATACAAAAATAAAAACGAAACATATTTTATTTCAGCTAGTTGCCAAAGCAACATTTCTCATTTTGATTTTGTTTAACTACTGTGTACTAAAATAACTAAAACTGAAATAAAATCTATTCAGACACATTTAAAACAAATCTAAAACTAATAAAAATGACAGAATCACACAACAAAATTAGCACAACTGTAACTAATGTTAAATTCAAATAGAATATCTAAAAATAAAAACTAATTCAAAATATAAAAATAAAACTATGATACTAAAATAATGCTAGATATTACTTGTGGTTCAACCATCAAAGGGCAGGTCAAGTTAAGTGCATTGCATTGTGGGATACAGTACTTCATGCAGTAAGTTATTATACTGCTTGTTTAGTAGGTCATCTGGCATCCTATTTATAAAGAAAACATACTAGTATACATACTATATGATGCAGAAATAGTATGAGTAGTATTCAATATGGAACACAGGCAAATAATTAAATAAAAAAGCAGCCGTTTTATTGCATTAAAAAAAGAACAAAACATGTATAAGTCAAGGAAGGAAAGACGGAATCCACTGGCACACAGGGAATTTAAATATTCTCTATCCTTCACACGGCAGATAAATGAGCTTGAACAATAACTTTCTTTGCATTACATCATTTTCCTAATTACGAGGATTATTAACATTCAATTAGAGTGTGGAATTGAGATTGGCCTGATCTTCCGTCTGTTAGCAGACATTATGGATGAAACCTGGTTCTCTGAAAACATAGATTAGAAATAATATTATTATAAAATGTGATAACCCCACTATCATATGTCCTACAGCAATGAAAGAATACAATTTGCGGAGTAAACATATGGCCAGTGAAAATCAGAGCAGATATGTGAATAATGAAGATCAATATAACGTAACTGCACGCTGGACCGTATAACTCCTGAAAGACTATGAACTGATGTCTCCTTTGATGTGCCTGCTGCACCATCTTAATTAAAATCTCAAAATTAGAATTCTGCCTGGGATTTTTAGGGCAGAGCGGAGTAATGAATAGCACTTATGCCTTTGACCTCCTGTCTAATGCATCTACCACAGTGAACCAGGCAGCTGTGTGTCTCTCGCACGTTCTAATGAGATCACCATGCCAGCCTCTTCTCTTTCTCATTTATTTAATGTTACAGAATAGTGTGATTTGCACCAGCAGTTTGATTGTAAAAAATACCTACCATTTATTTGTTGTAGCCTATAATGATTCTCCCTAATAAATGCACATATAGTCATTTTGGTTACGCAGACTACATGTCAGACTCCTTGTGCAAACAAAAATCTCACTGGAATATTACAATTAATGGCAAAATTAATGTTTGGAAATGTAAACGGATATTTCCTTACTGACACACCACAGCAAAAGATAGAAATAACAGACTTAAAAACATTTTTTTGCTGATGAAAATACTAGTCTTCTAATAATTTTGGCCACCACTGTATGTTGTATGGAATATTGGTTATTGTATAGAACAAATCTGGCCCACGAGATCCACTTTCCTGCAGAGTTTAGCTCTAACCCTAATCAAACACACCTGAGCAATGTCTTCAGGATCACTGGAAAATCACAGGTAGGTGAGTTTGATCAGGGTTGGAGCTAAACTCTGCAGCGCATTGGCCCTCCAGGGCAAGATTTGAGGAACCCTGGTATAGAATATATACAGTTTATATACACTGTAAATACATTATCTAAGATATCTACCTATCCACTCAAAGGCTTTCAGTTGCCAATACAGCTTTTGGATTTCAGCCATATGTAAAGATCTATGTGCTCCTAAATGCAAATGGCAGTAGAAAAGACTTGGTTTAAGGTTTACTCTGGGCCTTCAATTAAGCAAAGAGCCTGTAAAAACTGATGCTGTTTTTGTCATCTGTACTGTATGACTTTGAAAACTTCGGAAAAATAATCCTGACAGCAGCTGAATCATCACACTTTGCAAAGCTGCAGAATTTTATCTAAAGGCACTGGCCTATAGACATCCCAAAAACATTTACCTAATTTTGCAACAATCAATTCAATGACTAAAAGAAGGATGTTTGTCTGCTGCTCAGAGAAGGTGATGTTTTACCACAAACCACATAAAAATCCATAAACATTTTTTCGCTTGTTAAATTTCTCTCTAGCAAACAAAACAGCAAACAACGTTATGATCTGCATCATGTAAAGACGAATGCAAATGTTCACATTATTAAAAAATGTCTTTATTTTGATTACTTACCACAAAGAACATGCTTTACCACCAGAAAGATGAAGTGTTGTGATGCATTTACAGGTGCATCTCAATAAATTAGAATGTCGTGGAAAAGTTCATTTATTTCAGTAATTCAACTCAAATTGTGAAACTCGTGTATTAAATAAATTCAGTGCACACAGACTGAAGTAGTTTAGTTTAGTTGAAGTAGTTGTTTTGAGCTGATTAGCTGATTGGCATGTCACCATATTCTAATTTGTTGAGATAGTGAATTGGTGGGTTTTTGTTAAATGTGAGCCAAAATCATCACAATTAAAAGAACCAAAGACTTAAACTACTTCAGTCTGTGTGCATTGAATTTATTTAATACACGAGTTTCACAATTTGAGTTGAATTACTGAAATAAATGAACTTTTCCACGACATTCTAATTTATTGAGATGCACCTGTACCTCATGTCTGTTTTACCAGCAAATCTGTGTGTATGCAGTAAATGTCTCCCTCCAGTGGTACCAGCGTATACAGTTAAAAAGATTGAGAAATAAAAAAAATAAAAAAAAAATAAAAAAATAATAAAAACAAACTTTCTGGTTGTGTTTTAGATGCAGAGATCGTTTTTATACTTAACAGTTTCATTACCAATTGCACGAAAACGTAGTAGTATTTTTAGCGTATTTGCTCTTGTGTAGCCCTGTATGGAACTTTGCTAAAAGTAATAGGTGATTAAACAGATAAAACAAATTAAACATGTTTTTCTGTTTCTGTCCATAGATATCAAAGCCAAATAGCAGTATCCGGTGGTCACGTGATTTATAAGCCCCGCCCCCACACTTTGCTCGTTGACGTCACTCTATTTCACTCCCAGCGTCCACCGCGGCAGCCATCATCTTGAAGTTCAGAGCAAGATGGCGGATAAACCAGGTATGGTTGAATGGGACATGCATAGTTGAGTATATTTGACTGTTGGATAGGAAAGCTTTACATGAATCGCACTCTGTTATGTATCTCTGTGTCTGAAGGCATGCATGGAGTGGATGTCTGTTGTGTGGTTTGTGCGCAGCGCCGCTCAAGGCCCCGATGCGGGCAGACGCCAGTCATGTCAAGGACTTTCAGTAACATTGGCCGCACTGGCTTTCCGATTACATTAATGACTTAACATAATGTTCAGGACATGCAAATTCCTCTGTAGTGTTTTGTGAGATATTCGTTAAGTGAAGCGTGCTGGTCAGTTAATGATACAAAACTAGTCTGTAGTGAACTACTTGCCTGACAGCTTCCATTCAAGAGTAATGACTCGTTTATAGCAACTAAATGTTTAATTTTGTAGGTTAACAATATTGTCATTGTGCTGTAAGTCTCCAGGATATGACCAAATAATTTTAGTAACCATATAGTAAAAATAGTAACCATAAATACAATAAATATTTTGCCATGGAAGTGTTTTTGCAAAAAATTATAGTTCTTTTATCTGTATACACCATGGCACTCAATAGTTAACAAATAATACTGTCCTAGTACTGAAAATTATTCTAATATATGCCAAAAGCAAACGAACATAACACCATGGTGCATTTCGTGTCTGTTTGATCTTTTTGGGCTGATTTGAAACAAGTGCATTTTTCATAAGCTTGACATTCTTTACCTTTCTAACCAATGCATACAGCTATTATTTTTGCTTTTTTTAGCAAACTAGTTCTGTTTCATTTGAATGCACAGGAGAACTGGCTTACTGATTATCAAATAAAACCCAGTGAAATGTCTTTATCTGTATAAGCGTGTTTATTTAATGCATTTTTCCCCTAGTGGCCCTGGCCCAGAAGAGGCTTATGGACATCAAGCTCGGACAGCTGCCATCGTGGCTGGGAACAAGAGACTTCACCCCAAATGGACTTCTTGGTAGTGTTCGTGGAGGTAACGACCAGTGTATTCAATATTAGAAAAGCGTCTTTGATCAGTATTGTAATCATTTCTGTTGTATAATATTTTCCCCAATCAAAACTTCTTTTAGGATATGAGAGATATTTCAACAAGTACATCAATGTGAAGAAAGGTGGGATTGGTGGAGTTGCCATGTTCCTCGCTGGTTACGTTGCCCTGAGCTACCTCTGGGAATACGATCACATCAGTAAGTACAAACTCAGTGTATTAAAGAATCAGTAGTAGCGTGTCCTTCACTGTTGTACTGTTGTCTGAATTTAGTGTCACTGAGGAAGTGTTTTCTTGTCCAGAGCACGACAGGTGGAGGAAGTACCACTGAAAGCCACTGGACCACCAGGCCACTCAAATCTTCTGCCTGCGGCAGTGTGATCATCACACATCTCAGCTTTCTCTGTTTGTGACTGTTGTGACCAAGAATAAAATGAAATCTATTTAATTTGGACTCTTTATTCAAAGCATACAAAATGTTGGCTGTATGTATAAGAGCTTGATTATTATTATTCATATTTCTTGTGATGAATTAAACATGTATTAAATTGATTGGGGTTTAATACAGTTTTTGTATTTTTGTACGTCATTACTCAAGCATTAGGATGGTTTCACTTGTTTTAAAACCGATTCAGTAATCAGTAAACAAGGTGGTCAGTAACACTGCAGCCCAGATTACTAAGGAAAATGGAGGAAGTCTTTATTCAGGCAAAAGCTAAAACCACATGAATAGTTGATATGTGCTACTTGTAATGTTTATAAATGTAGATAAACATGTCCAAGATAATGGTTTCATAAATCCAGTAAATCTTTATTGTAAGAAGTACAACAACCCAACAATCAGTTTCATTTCATATAAACCAGTATCTTGATGGACTACAAAGTGGTGTCCTTTCTGCCTCCAATTTTGGTTGTTAATTGACAACATTTTCTCTAAAAACATACTTTGCTCTAATTTCAGCATTGCTTTAAAGTTTAAGCAATCAAGATGTTTGTTGCTCCAATACAAAGGTTTCATGTGAAAGTAAAACCAAAATCTATATGAAAACGGTGGTTATTGATCATTCTACGTTTTCATTGTGTACTAACTGAGATACACTTGGCACATGGACAGTGAGGTAGAGCCACGTTTATGTCCCTCAACTATAGCTTTTGCCGTGAAAAGTTAAAGAAATTATTCACCCAAAAATTTAATTGTACTCACCCTCAGGCCATCAAAGATGTAGATGAGTTTGTGTCTTTATTGGAACAGATTTGGATAAGTTTAACAACACTCACCAATGGATCCTCTGCGGTGAATGGGTGCCGTCAAAATGAGAGTCCAAACAACTGCTAAAACATTAAAATAATCCACCTGCATTAATGACAGATTTGTTTTTTAAAACCATGCAGCTTTTCACTTCACAATATGAAAATTGATGAAGTCATGTGGATTATTGTGATGTTTTTATCAGCAGTTTTGACTCTCTTTCTGATGGCACCCATTCACTCCAGAGGATCCATCGGTGAGCAAGTGATGTAATGCTAAATTTCTCTAAATCTGCTCTGATGAAGAAACAAACTCGTACATCCTAGATGGCCTGAAGGGGAGTCAGTTTTCAGCAAATTTTCATTTTTGGGTGAACTATTTCTTTAATGTACCAGGAATTAAATATGTCACTTTGCAAGTTATAGTCACATTTATTGGAGATCCTTTTTGTAGAAAACTTTACTGTCCACTCAAAAACGCCAGGTGTCCTTTTGTGCATTTGTTTGCGTAATGGCCCTTCTCACCGCACTGGAAAAAGCAAACAGATACTGAATGTGACTGTACGTTTGAGGGCATCATAGTAGTATGGGATGGGGGGATGGGGGGGTGGGGGGTATTTTATGCATAAAATCAAATGACGTCCCACCTTGTAACATGTAACTTGATCCAGTGGACGAGGACCGCGAGGTCCACCCATGTTGTTGTTAGAGTGCACTATCCCAACAGCATTTGGCATTCTCTGGTTGTTGTTGACATTGGTGTTGGTTAACTGGATGAGTGACTGTGATGACCGGTTTGTGGGCTGCATGTTTTGCTGCTGGAGATTAAAATTAAGATGAAACATTAGTATCAAGGTAAACATAAAACAAGAAAAGAAAAAAAAAATTCACAAACCTTTTGCTGAGACTGTGCCTGTTGTGGTAATGGTGGCTGTTCAGTTGCACCCATAGGGAGTTCAAATCTTGGGCTAGGAATTACAAAATAAAAATTAATATGCTTAGAATTAATGCAGAAATGTTTATTTAAATCACACATATGAATATGTATATGCATAAATTGCAATCACAGATACTCACTGCATAAATTTGCATGACTTGCCCTCTGGACAGAAGCCAACAAGGTAATTTACACAGATTACTCTAGTTTGCATGACTTTCTAACATTTACAGAAGAAAAAATATATCTGTGACATGTCAGTTATGCATTGAGGAAAACACAACGTCTCAAATGCATTAAACAGTACAGATATATTCACTGTTTGCGATGGTGGATCGATTTGATTCAGGATCAACATTAAGAGAATTACAAAATAAAAATTCATATGCTTAGAATTAATGCAGAAATGTTTATTTAAATCACACATATGAATATGTATATACATAAATTGCAATCACAGATACTCACTGCATAAATTTGCATGACTTGCCCTCTGGACAGAAGCCAACAAGGTAATTTACACAGATTACTCTTCTTGTGTGTCTGTGCCTGCAATCCGGACCTAAAGGGAAGGTGAAGGCAAAACGTGTTGATTTTCTTCCTATTACAATCAATTTTGAAATATCTGTAAAATAATGTAACTTAACAAAATTCAATGTAAAATAATGCGGATTCATACAACTTCTTTTAAATGCAAATATCTGAAAAACACTGCAAAAGACTTACCATGCTTACAAAAGCCCCTATCATACCATGGGCAATCTTTAATCTTAGATTCTGGGTCAATGTGCAAAAATGGACACTCTTTATTACTGCACTCCCCTGTAAAACAAAAATAAAGTATTAAGACTTATTATTACACATAGATAGATAGATAGATAGATAGATATTTAAAATACTAACCAAATTTAGAGTAGAAATAACATTCAGGCATCTTTGTCATATCATACTCATGTAAAAATTCACATTGGTCTCCTTTCTTGCATAAACCTCTAAGCCAGTGTTTGCACACCACAGACTTTTCTCCACTGATGTGTCTGAAAGGACACATTCCACCTGTCAAAAGAGAAAGCTGTAGAGTCTGATCGAAGCAATAAATCTGATTTACACATGAAATCCATACACAAGTTTTTGTAACACATGCCTTTCATACAGGCAGCTCTCATGAAGAACTCGCACACAGCGGCGCCAGATTCTGAAAAATAATAAGAACATTTTGTATCATTGTTAGAAGTCTTCTGTCCTAAATAATAGTTATCTAGCAATCCATCTTATATGTTGAAAATAATAAATCAGAAACACAATTGTAATTGAACATTTAAAACAAATATTAATCGACTTACTATCCATTCCTGGAAATGGCAATGGCTGAGCGCCTAATTGTTGTTCTACTGCAATTTCTAGATCAAACTTGATATGATCGACACACGAGATTAATTCCTGCATTTTGGTAGTATATCCTCTATATTTTTACCAGCTGTTGAAACGCTTCTCTTTATAACACCTAATCAGAAAACTAAAAGAAGTCTTAATGGCTAACAACTTATCAGTTTGCCGTTGGTCAGGTTTAATTCTGAACGTAAAAAGAGAGAATAGCGAAAAGGTATACAGATTTATTAACTGGGTAAACAGTTTTTAATGTAGCTCATGAGTAAATCGGTAAAGATAAAGATAAACATTGTAAATAAGCAGTTGATTTTAGAACCGTCTACTTCCACAGCGCTGTTCACGAGTGACCCCTGAACTCCAGGCCGTACAATCGATTGCAATAGCATCGATTTTCTGGGAACGCGCGAATGCGGTTTTTTAATTGTATTTCTTACGATGAGTAATTTCGCCTTATTAATATTAAAACGTGTGTCAATGATCTTCTAATGATTTGTCGTTAGATGGCAACTTTGACGGCACAAAGAATATCCGAAAGGGCTGGGTCTTGATCAGTGTGTTGGTTGTTGATTAAAAGGTCTGCTGTATTTACTAGCGCCATGCAGCTCCTAACAAAGGTACTGTGAGGAGTGCTGACCTGGGATTACGAAAATGTATTAAAAAAAAGATAAAAGATACTCGATTTGAATGAGGCTTACATTTCATAGGTGTAAACTACCAACCAGAACCAGTTTTTTGTCTGTTGTTCTTAAAGAAATCCAAAACTATATAGATTATATCATGTTCAGGATACCAAGACTTGTTACATTTACATTTAGAAATTTAGCAGACGCTTTTATCCAAAGCGACTTACAAATGAGGTTAAACTATTAAAACTGACTAAATTAAATATTTCTGTGAAATTACAAAGCCTATTGTGATTCTCCAAGTATGTTCTACTTATTAAACCTCTGGCTAGTTTGTTATATGGTTTAGATAAAAAAAAACAAAAAAAAAACAATAAGTTAAAACAGAATAAATTTAATTATTTCAAATGTATTTCTTTACTAATATTCTCGTTATTTGGTTCTGATGAGTTAGATCATTTTAAATGATTGAATACACACAGATTTGCCCAGCTTGTCCTGAACTAGTACATATATTTTTAGTTTTCATCCCATTTTTAAGATGGTTTAAGATTTTTAAGTTTCAGTCATACATTTGTGTATTTCTGTATGCCATTTTAGTAAAGAAAATATAGAAGATAGCTGATGAATCAGGAAGATTTTCTCTTTGACCCTGACTTGTATGTTTTCATCTTTGTTTTCAAAAAGGAAGTGGTAATTCTGAAAAGGTCAGGATATGGAGACGTACCCTCATTCCTTCCGAGATAAAGCTGATAACACCTACTTTGTTTTTCTAACATCAATTTCATTAAAAGATCATTCTTAAACCTGCTAGGGACTGATCTGAAAACTGATATTTTACATTGATATTAAGGATATTTTTGCTGCCACTCTGCAGTGGGTAGGCAGTTAACAATGCACATATAAAATAAATAATTTAAACATTCATACAAAAAATTTTTTACATACACAAAATTTCTGATTTGTATGAGATATTCTACCTTATTCCTTTTACCAGAGCATGCTTATACAACATACTTCATGGAAGCACACACTCAAAGCACGAGATTGGACAGTGTAACCCAGAATAATTAAGACACATCACAGTTTAATACAAATAATGATGAAAAAAAAAAAAAAAGCATACACATACAATCATATAATTTAAACATCGTAATGACAACCCAATAAATGTATTAAAAATACAAATCAAAGTTCAGTAAGTTCAAAAAGTTGTTGCCCTCTTGACTCATCCAGAGCATCCTCTGCATCCACAGTGAGTGCACTCAATGATACGACCCTAAGAAAACAAAAGAACAAATTAGGAACAGTGGCATATTTACATTTACTCATTTAGCAGACGCTTTTATCCAAAGCAACTTACAAATGAGGACAATAGAAGCAATCAAAAACTAGAGTTAGTTTTTTTATTAAAAAAAAAAAAACACGCAGTTAGTAAATAAATTGAGTGCAAGTCTAAAAGGGGCAAGTTTTTTTTTTAAAGGCATACATTAAGTAATGGGACAGCTTTTTGATGGAAAAACAGGGTCATATGATGCTATTTAAATTTTTCCTTTCTCTTTGGAGTGTTACAAGCTCTTGGTGCATAAAGAAGATCTGTAAAGTTGCAAAGACTAAAGTCTCAAATCCAAAGAGATATTCTTTATAAAAGTTAAGAGTCAACCACGCCTACCTAAAACGGATCATTCTAACACGCCCCCACATGTCTACATCACGATGTGGGAAGATTGCATAACGCCGCCCAAATGTTCAAGCAAAGAAAGAAGGCGTAACTTTTATCCTCGCTATAATGTACAGTATGTGGAAAATAATGTGTTTTTTGAATCTTAAACCGCAGAAACACATTTCATTACACCAAATACACAAAATACTGTTCTTTTTAGCAGCATCATATGACCCCTTTAACATCTGACAGATGTATACGACTTTGAGTAAATTAAACAACTTGCATAACTTACCACTTCAAGCTTGCCCTTGGGAACTCTGCATATGCAATTTGTTCCAAAGTTTGTGTCGCGCGTCTGAATGCACCGCAGACAGCACAGATTTTCATAGCCCTGTTTTTTCCATTTGGCAATCAGATTCTTGTCTGCATAGCTCTCTCTGATGCAATATTCATAAAGCTCTGCGAATGAAACTCACAAGTTAACAACTCCCATAGAAACAAACAGTACAACAGACTGCACCCCACCACCATACCTCGACTGATGGCCTTCCTCTTGTAGAAAAGGTCGAAAATGTAACGGCTGCGTTGGTGATGAAGTCGGAAGATTGGCCATAGAGACTCAACCTTACGCTTGCCCTCATGAGGCTCGGTTTCAGCTGTGAAATTACAGCATCAGTTAATAAGCATCGTAGCAAATTCAAAATAAAAGCTAAATAAAAAAACAGCACGTTTTTCCATTTTAAATAAACGAATTAAACGTGTGAATATTGATGTTAACTACACTAACATTCATCCTGACTGATTATCTGATTATGATTAGGGATGGGCGATACCACTTATTTTGTTTTTGATACGATACCGATATTTTTCAAGGCAGTATCGTCGATATCGATACGATACTTCTGAACTAAACTTTTAAATGATGAAATGTATAAAATTATTAAATTTCTAAGAGTAAAATGGGTAATGATAACCACTTAACTTTATGTTTAAAACACATTTTAAAATTCAATACGTCTTAATTGCAATTTATTAGGTTATATTTTTGTTTACACATGATTCAAATCTACAAATACTACAGTTGAACTATGGTCATTTTAGTAAAACCATGGTTCATTATCATAAGGGACTGCCAGTGACAGGCTGTTGCATCCATAAAATGCAACCTTTTTGTTCTGACAGTGTATGATTTCTATTAACATTACAGAATAGAACATCAACATGATCTATATTATCTTTCAACGTTCAAATTAAATAAATGTAATCGTACCAACTATGTAGGCTACGATTTCAACTTGTTTATTGTGAAATAACTCAAACATATGTTTTTTTTTCTGTCCTGATAAGCATTGTTCAGGGCTGCTGTTCCCAAAAGCTTTAATGCTTTCTTATGATACTTTTGGGGAAACGCAGATATGATTATCTTATCATTCTGACATCCCAAACAAACAATCGCCTTGTTAGCGTTATGGCTAACGTTAGTTTGTAGATTGCTGAACGAACCTTCGCGCATTTTCTGGTCCAGCTCGTCAAGAGTCGGCTCTATGAGCTCCCAACCATCTGGAGGTGGTTTCCTACTCCTTTTCACCTTGGGCATTATGTTGTTTAAACAATATAAGATCGTCTCGGTTGTTTAGCAACAGCGAGCCGCTGGCTGCACGAAGAACTTCCCCGATTTCTGTCGCCGAACGGAGGACGTCACTCCGAAGGTCCTTTTACTAGTGTGAATCGTTACGTCAACGAGCTGTCTTTGTTCTCACTCATAAAACACGAACTATACTTATTTCCAGCGCTAAAACGTTCTGCATTAAATCCTGACTATTTCACATGGCAACAATGGTTTTATTATGGTGAAGCTGTGGTGTTATTCTCTCTTCCAGCATATTGCATCAGGCTAGGTGTCTGATCGAGTGCCTGTGAGTGTAAATATAGGAACATGGACCAGCTGGCTATATGCTAATCGATTACTGTAACTACTTAATCGTGGGATTTTGTATTTGCTTTATTTACTGTATCGCCCCAGAGCCAAATAAAACCACGTAACTATAATTAATTGCTGCCGTTTAGTAAGTTATCTACAGAGTTGGGTACTCGAGAGTGTGGTGAAGTGTGGCAACCTGATATCAAAACCGTACCTCGCTTTTGTTGTGACTGGGAGTGTGCTTTAGTCGACTGTTTTTGTTTTTATATCAAGCCAAGTTTAATCTTCATCATGCCTAAAGGAGGTAAGGGATCATTTTGTTGTGTATGTTCTTATGATTGGCATTATATGCAGTCTGTATGTTGTACGTTTAAGCTAGCCTACGTCTTCTGTGTTATCATCAGGATATTTTCATTGAGAGCAATGTTATTAGAAATTTGTATGTGTGTTTATTTGTTTATTTTAGGGAAAAAAGGTGGCCATAAAGGTCGCATGAGAACTTACACAAGTCCTGAAGAAATAGATGCTCAAATGAAAGCAGAAAAAGAACGAAAAAAGGTACGTTGTAGGGCTGCACGATAAATCGCATGCGATATTTAACAGTACGTTGTATTACAAATTCACACAGAAATATGACAAATATTAAGAAACATGGGTAAGAATGTGGTTGACACTGAAAGCAAGCATTAACATTTAAGTTGGCGTTTTAAAAAAAGAGATGAAACAGTTGAGATGAAATTAAAATTAACTTTTTTTTAAATATGTTATTAATCCCACTGTCAACAATTAATTCATGTATATGTTTCATTTCTTTAAAAAATTGTAATAACATTTTTAATTTCAAAATAATAACAAAAATGTTATTACAAAAAAAATTGTAATAACATTTTTAATCAAAATAATCATGACAGTGATTATTCATAACATTCCAGTGAAACAACACTTCTCTCTGTAAGGCGGACGTCTGCAATCATTTAGTCCACTTAATTAAACCCTGTCCCTTTCTTACAATCAGCTGCACAGGTCTCCATCCAGTCAACAACTGACGAATAGAACCAAGTCCTGGCACAAATTTTTATTTTATTTTTTTTCAATAATCTGTTTTACTCAAATCACATCACAGTACGGAAGAAAAGCTCTACTACATCGCAACTTTATGTAACAGTGGTCAAAAGCACAGCAGAAGGTGATTGATTCTCAAGAGCTCCACTCACTGCAACCACTTTCTGATTCGGTGCCCATTCGCAAGTCAAATTGGCTAAACAAATTCATTGTTGCATGTGGTAATGTTTTTTTTTTTACATTGTAGAAGGAAGAAGAAGAAGGTGCAGCAGTGAACGACAACCAGAGCGAGGACAAACTGACAGCGTCAGGTTCAGAGGACAGTGACGATGAGGGGTCTGAGGTCAGTTTTCTTTTAGAATGATGACGAGTCCATGTTCCTGCAGAGCTGTCCACCTACTTATAGATCCTCCTGCAGATTCATTCATCTGAGACGACTGTGGCGGTGCGTAGACATTCAGCCAAGTGTCAGACACGCTCTTACTCAGTCTAATTAATGTGTAATCTTATTGGGTGGAGCAGAGCATTGCTTTTTGATTAGTCACTCAATCACTGTGTTTGGAATGTTGGAATTATATATGTGGAATGTCACAGCCACTGTCATCTGATGGATGAATATACTGTAGGCTGGCGATACGTCAGCAGATGTATCAAATAATTTGGTCCAGTTGCAGCATGAGCTTTTGTATGAATGCACAAAATGCCTATATGAAAACAAACTGATCTCTTGTCTCCATCAGTTTAATTTCAATATTATTATTTACTTATATAGTATTTATTAATGTCTTGAATTAGCTTCTTGTATTTACAGTTGTGTACGTTTTAGTAATTTTGTCACGTTCTTTTGTTGTATTTATTAGTTTTTTATATTTCTATTTAGCTTTTTTACTTCAGTTTTTAGTACTTGTAGTACTTCAGCTTAAACTTATTTTATTTCAGTTAGTTGCATGTAAGAGGTCGTTGTGCTATAAAAACATTCTGTAAGTTTCAGAACTCAAAACGTTCTTGTTAGTCTAAAAGCAGCTTATATTGAAGCCAGTCTGCCGAAACCACAGCTTGTGGAATGTTCTACTCTATGATGTAATAGTGTGGATAAACCCCGCCTCTGCAGAAGGAGATCAACGCCTGCTTCTACATCGCTGCCTGTTTAGCCCCGCCCACTGATTCACGCATGTAGTGTTTACAAGAGAGGCGAATGCGCAGGTCTACGCAGAAACCAAACAATAAAAATGCTCCGATGATGACAACAAGACGCTGTGCAGTGCCAAGCTGGGAAAGAACTGTCTTTGCATTGCCTTCCTTCTGATCCCAACATTTGGAAAGAGTGGATGAACTTTATTTTTAATGAAGATCCAGACCGCGTCAATAAGAAATTCACTTCATTTTACCGCAGATTCGTTTACAAACAAGGCACAAGTCAACACAGTATTTTCAGAAAGATTGAAACTAAAAGACGATGCTTTGCCGACTATATTGGACAGTAATCGCAACACACAAGTGTGAGTAACTGTTTATTATGTGCTCACTAATGCTTTGTCTGTTATTACAGATCGTTTGAAATGTACTGAGTATTTATGCGGTTTTAACCTAAATGACAGCAGCGTCCATCTATGAAGGATGTAGGCTGTCAAATATACACAACTGTTAGCCAATCATGAAGATCTTTATTTCTGAGTCTACAATCTGCCACGCCTGTTCAAACAGAGTGTTCTGATGAGGGGGGTTAAAACAGGACAGAAAATAGCCTATTACTCCTATAATGTTTTTGATATAAAAATCTTGATAACAGTATAAGTGGCCCTCAAAGAGCAGTTCAAAATAATAAAAAAAGGCAGTTCATGACCACTTTAAGTTTTAGTTTCAGTTAACAATAACAACACTGATCTCTGTTTTGTCACAGAAAAGGAAGGGTGTTGAAGGCTTGATAGAGATTGAAAATCCCAATCGAGTCGCCCAAAAAGCAAAGAAAGTCACAGACATAGAACTCGAGGGTCCCAAACAGCTTTCCAGAAGAGAAAGGTAAGAGACACTGGGGTGAGTGAAGCTAACAACATTTTCCTTGAGCTACTTAATACCCTCTCATTTTTTACCAACATGTTATGTCACATTTTTTGCTATTGCTAGACATCTAGACACGTGAATCTGTTCCTTTTCATCTCTTTCAATAAGTGTCTTTTCATATTTCAGAGAAGAGATCGAAAAGCAAAAGGCCAAGGAGAGGTATATGAAAATGCATTTAGCAGGAAAGACAGATCAAGCTAAAGCTGACCTCGCTCGACTCGCCATTATTAGAAAGCAACGCGAGGAGGCTGCACGGAAAAAAGAAGAAGAACGTAAAGGTAAATTGGCAGCATTTGTTAATGTTGTAGAGCAACTTGTGAAAATGTCTTGCTGGAAATCAGAGATTCATTATTGTTTTCTTCTTTGTCATTGTAGCAAAAGAAGCAGTGCAGGCGGCAGCAGCGGCTAAAGAACTGCATACGTTGTCTCTCAAATAATCCAAATAGTGGATTCTTAGAGGTTTCGATGCATTTGTGGACAGTATACGATGATATTGACAATGTTATTTTTGAAGACAAAGCAAAAGATAATGTGGAATCCTGTAACACAGCGTGCCAGTGAAAAGGAATATTTCAGAGTATATTAACTCAGAAAGCAGGCATTTAATTATCCAAATAAAATGCCTTTGTGAGAGCCCTGATGCTTTCACTAAAGTGGCTAAATCTTAATGCTTGCTTTCACTCAGTGATGTTAGGAATATAGACATATTTATTAATATATTAACATATTGCCACATGTAGCTGAGTCAACTTTGCGGCCTCAGTCTAAAGGATTATTGTAAGGATAAAAACTTAATAATCTGTCCTCAGTTGTAAAGGACCTGGTGTCATTTAGAATGTAAAGAATAACATACACCAATAAAATGTCAGAAAGTTTTTTTGAAAATGTATTTGTATTATATTGTGAATTGTTTTGTATATCTCACTAGTATTCTTGTAAACCTGAAAAACTGTTTTGATTTTTAAGGTGTAGTTTTGTACTTGAACATATTTTTTATTCAAAATGTTGTAGTTGTTAAATGTATTGACAGTCGGCATTTATTTTTGGAATGCATAAGAAACATTTTGTCAAGTTTTTAAAAATACATATTTTGTATTATTATTGTTACATATATTACTATTATCATATTGGACATTCCATACCTCCATACCTTTGCTTTCCAAGTCCCAGAAAAGCCCATGGTGACTGTAGCATGTATTATATGAGATATTAACAAAACGGGTAAGTAAAAAAAAAATGCCGACAACAAAGAACAAAAAGGTGACAATTCAGAAAATGTGCTCCCTGTATCATGCCTTTCGTTGTGGGCGGGACAGGAGCTCCATTAGCCACGCCCCGCAGCGCGCTGATTGGTCTCCAAATTTCGCGGACTTTGACACGAGGAAACCTAAAAGAAAGTTTTCACATAAAGCAATTTGGGGCGAACCATTAATCGCATTTGTAAAGGTAAGTAGAAGAAGGTTTTCATTCTATATCATCACATCTATATATATAAACACTGTTTAAAGCTTAGGTAACTTAAAGCAGAGTTTTGATTTAGTGGATCAAATCAAAATCTTGTGACTGTCTGCATGCGCTCCACATTCTCGGCTGATGAATGTTAATCTGTTACCGTTGTGCAAATAGGTGCTTAAAGAGCA